TTCACATAATATGGTGAAAAAAACAATGTTTAGTTGATCTTGTTTCAATTTACCTTTGTTTTTCTTGAAATATGTTAACCTTATCGCCTCAAGCATCCTTTACTGCGCATGACACAAGGTTTTAGTGACTTGCATTAAAAATGTTATTAAACTACTTTTTGTTTATGTTATACCAATTAGTATAGCATCAAATCTTGGCTAATAACCCATTTTTAATAGTATATAAGTTTCAAGTTCTTAATTTTATAAGGCAATATTTAAAAACTCCTGAATTTCCACCTAGTGTGACACATTTTCTCTAGGCATGTCCTCTTCTCTATTTTATGCACCACCCCTCCAATATGTGTGAAATGAAATATAAATTATTCACTATAAAATTGTCATTGCTCAGACGAACCATAATTTTTTATACCCTTCAATTTGGTTTGGTTACAGAGCTATCAAATAGAAAATCGGATTCCTCCTGCCACACCCACCTGTTGCATCCTCTCTTTCAGGATTTGTTAATAGTTCTCTCTTATGTGTAATTATATATTACCTCTAACTAATAGAAAGTCAAGGTTTTGATTTATCAAATGACATATTGTATAACATTTTGTTATGGATGTACAATTATCAATTTCACTGCTAGTACAAGCTTCGTTCCTATGGGAAAGATAACGACTAACTTGAATGAACTTGTAACAGCTCTTGATGTATAGTTAGAGAGCCAGAAAAATTTTGAGAGTTAGGGGAAATTGTTTACTTTTTGCATGTTATTAGTTTATGTTCTTTGGTGCATTATTTGATTAAATAAAAATTATTTAGTACATTACTTTCATTAGTTTAAAAAAAAGTAGCGTTAAGTGTCAATGACAATTGACAGCGAGAAAAAAGAATTGGGTAAGTACTTTATTTCATGTTTATTCTTTATTTATTATTATAAAAGTAGCTAAAATCTAAAAATAGGGATCTCTTTAGGTTAGTTAAGATAAGAATAGGTAAAATGAATAATAACATCATTAAAATGTTTCATGAGGCACACACACGTGTAATGGGTAAAGTAATTCAATAGCGTAATGTGATCTGCATGTTCCTCAAGTGATTTACAACTTATAATCATGCAAATAGTAGTTAGTCATGATTCAAAGAGCGATAAAACAATAAAATTTAGTTATAAGTAGATGTATACTGTTATGAGCTTAAAGCTACTTAGTATAAACTGAACGTAGTTTCATGTTACAATTTGAAATCATTCTAGGAAAAAAAAGGTAATTTAGATTTATTTTGATTTTTGGTGGTTACAAGGTCGGTCAAATTGACCAACCCCATATAGATATAGGGTAGTGAAAATAACAGATGAAATATAAAGTTTTACTGAAAACAAATGTTTGAAATATACTCAGGAGGTTTTAGGATGTACACAAAGGAAATTTGAGATTTTTCAGATAAAGAAAAGTATTTTTAATCTTAACATGAAAATCACTTTGTACACGGACTATTCAAAACAAATACTCAATATACTCATTAAAAATACTTTGCTAAAAAATATGTTTTTTTTGTATATGAAAGACTGTCAAATTTTGTGAAGATATACATACTATATTAAAAGTTAGTAATATTAAATCTATAAAGACTTTCAATGAGTATAAAGAGTCACATGGTTGGTAAAATTGACCAAGCCCGTGTTGAGAGAGTTAATACATGTTACAGCCCATGCTACATACAGCCATGTTACATGCTTAATACAACATTGTGAAGAATGTTGAAAGTAGTGTCCTTCTATGATTGTTTAGGTGATATTGAGAAGTTATAGCCCCTACCTATGTTGCAATGAAAATAACTAGTCACATGGTTAGTGCATGCCACTCTTGGTAAATTCAAGATTTCTTGCTGACTAAGGAAGGTTGCATTTAAACTGTCTGGTAGTTGATTTCGGCCAGGGAAGATAGTACCTAGTAAAAGCAATAATTCATTGTAATTGAGCCACAAGTACACATGTACTGTGTTTGTGTTTAGTATATTAGGTAAAGATTGTTCATTTTATTAATTACTTTTTGTCCAATTTCATTGTTTCAATTTACATCCATCCAATCAGTGAAAGTTTAGGCATTACTTTATAAACAATATCTTAATGGAATCTCCAGCTAACAAGGGGACCTATCTGGTGTAGTTCTAAAATTAATTATTTAACCTGGATATATATACCACACCATTACCGTAGCAGAACAGAGTACCCCTATTGAATGCAGGGCTCCAATTTTACACCCACAGTTTGCAAATGGAATTTACATGATCCAAATCAGAATGTTTGCTCCTTGCTGTTTTCCATGAGTGACACAAAATTGAATTAAAATATAAAACTACATAATCAAATTACTAAACTGAATTTGCTACACCCTGTTTCTGTTCAGTTAGGATCATTTGTCCCATTATTATGCATCAGGAGCAGAGTTTCCATCTGATTCTTGTTCAGTTATGATTATGTACATATGTAATTTTCTTCTGTTCATTGGAGCACTCCTGAAATGGTTTTTCTACATGTATTACCTGTATGAATCAGAACACTTGTACTAATGTAGACAAAAACAAACTTGCTTTAGTGTCATGATGAACAAAAAGATTACAAGTTGTTAAACATTCCAGTTCTGGAAATGAAACTGATGACAAGTAAAAGTCATCCAGTGACAATATAAAGCTAAAGTGTCTGTCACAGTGTCTGTTCAGACTGGCAATAAATGGTCAAACAAATTTAATGTTGCACTCGGATATAATCCGTTCACAGTGATCGAAATATGGGTTACGATATGCCAAGAATGTGCAACAGATCTGTCATAATCAGTGAATATTTTTATTTTAATTAATATACTGAAACAAGGCTATATGTATTAAAGGATATTAAAACTTAACCTAAGAAGCAATAAATACAAACAATTAAGATAATAATAAAACTTTAATCAGTAAATCTTTTTAAACTGACATACTCTCTAACTTCAAATACTGGATGTTTGAGAAGCACATAAGGAGCAACCATTTAACTTCATCAGGAATTGAAGAATCCCACCTTCAGTAGATGAATACTGGGTTATGGCTTCTTCTGGGATCTCTCTCTAGTCTTTTTTTTTATCAACTTAAGATTGTGAAAGACAGTAATCAACTTCCTACCGATAGACATCTTCAGCCAGTTTCTTTAAACAGATCAGTTCCTTAAACATATGCTGTGGTGTAAGAGAGAAGCAGAAGGATGATAGCTAATTTGGCTAAAATACAGGGAAGGAAATGACACTTCCATCATGTTAATGGAAAGAGATCCTTAGATTCCACAGCAAGAATGACATCCTACATGGTTTTGAAACTATATGAAGATCAAAGAGAGAAAAATGAGGAACAGAATGGCAAGGAAGATGATAGTGAAGTACTATTTGGTAATGAAAAGTGAATTTTGTAGGGAAGGGGTAAAACTTTTAATGATCCTATTTGACAGGTCTGGGAAAATGGGTTGCAAGGTGTTAATATTTTAGCAAGTAATCTGTAACTTCCAGCCTTATTAGACAATAACTATTTTTTATTTGAAATTTTGATATTAGTTTAACAAATAAGACAATTAGAAAATCTAGATATGAGGATCAGACATAGAATTTTATTAGGTTTATTGTTAAATTTGAAGTTTTAATATAATTTTAAAAATTGCTTATGTTAATTTTCCATATAATATGATTTGAGAATAGGGCTAAAACAATCCTCAAAAACTTTACAGTATATAAAGAAAAAAAATGTTCTTAATTTTATGTGATATTTCTTTGGTCCTAAAGATTATTATTTGAATGGTCATTCAATTGATTCTTTTTTTTTACCAGTTAAATACTTGTCTCTAGAACTGAGTTGTATATCAATATATTTATGGTTACTCGATTTTCCTGTTTATGTTATTTTGATTACAAAATGATCTATTTGAGTTATATTATTTATAGGCTTTTAAAATTTGAAATTGATTAATAATTTATAGTTTTTCAGAAGTATACAATTTCATATTCCTAAAGAAATGTAGCATAGTAACTAATTGACCAACCTTGTGCCTTAATTTCTGCACTATAAATGGCTTTGTAGCTTAGTATGCTAGACTGTGGGAGCTGAGGTTCCATGGTTTGTTTCCTGTTACTCAAAAAAAAAGGGGGAGGGCTGCATAATAAGAGTGATGGTCAAATTTGCTGCCTTCCCTCTAGTCTATTGCTTCAAAATTAGGGACAGCTAGTGAATATAGCCCTCATATAGCTTTGTACAAAAACCAATTAATTTCTGCAGTGGGGCAAATATTTTATGTGTAGATGAAATTTTTCTAAAAAAAGACTGTTCATAATGCACTCCGGAGAGATGCAAGTTAACAGAAAGCCGTCAAGTTCATTAACATGCTATTCTCATAAGGTTTCATGGTATTAAAGTAACAATTTTAACATAATGAAATATATTTTTTATTTATTTCATATGAGTCTTTCTCAGCTAGGAGCAAGAATTAGTCAGTTTAATATAAGTCCAGTAATGGTATTTTGTCTTTCTAATCTATAAAAATATATATTAGCACTTCTTTTTCATGAAAGAACTTGGCAAGTAATTGTAAATTCAGATTTATAACTTACAACATTATCTTCCATTTTGTCACTGACATTTTTCTTCAAAGCAAATTTATTATACATGTGTGCATACTTTACTTTAAATGCCAGATGTGACAACAATGTGTTGAGGTTCCAAAATAGTTTTGATATAAGGTATTGAACCTCTGTATTTCTAATGAGACAAGGTTAAAAGTACTTAGTAAAGTATTCAGTTCAGCTTTGGAGGGAAGTGTTTGTAAGAAACCTATCTTTTGTACATAACTATCAATTTTCTTTATCCATTTTTACGATCAAATCAAAGTATTTGTGTATATAAATTAGTTTTGCTTGTTTTTAAGGAATATTTAAAAGAAGACTGAGAATGGAGAACTCAAAAACTATATATACATTTATTTTGTTTTTTCTTCACAGCTGTATTGATGCATGGTTTCAAGTGAACAGGTCATGTCCAGAACACCCAAATAACTGACCAAGAGGCTTCCTCCACTAGCATGAAGCTTTTTTTAAAGATAGGCTAACTGTTTGTGTAATCTTTTTGTTTTAAACCTGTATCAGTTGAAGAGCTGAAAACTGAGGATGAAGAATTAGAAGCAGTTTAGCTTGAAAGCAAGAGCACAGATTAATGTATCTGCCCAGCCCTATTTCAACTGAGCAAGTGGTACTAACAAATGTAAAGCTGCTGTAATTACTCTACAAGATTTATGTGTCTGAATGATGCTGTGCCTTCATGTAAAATAGAAAGGAAATTTGAAGCAGAAAGTACCACTTCAGTTGTCTTCTTTATGATATGTAGAAGTGGGATGGTTGTCTTTATTTCTCAAAAAAGAATGTTCTCTAGTTTTATATGCACTCCAATTTGGAAAACGAGGCAAAAGAACAGAAGTGTTTTTTTTACACATAGCCTAGTTTGTGATCTTTATGTACAGATACATACAGAAAGGAAGTTCAGTGTAGTTAGTCCTTGCTTTTATTGTTATTCTTAAAAATTGTATTTTTAACACATATTAATTGTCCCCCCCCCCCCTTGATACCACCACATAATAGTTAGTTGTATATATAAAATCTTATGAAGTCTTATTATTATTTCCAGTGAATAGTGCTATTTCAAATTCAGTTTGTTAGAAATATAACAGGTCTGTCAGAGGAGCCTAATTATTTGAAGTTTACATTACAAGAATAAAACAGTGTTACATTATTTATACCTCATCAGACAGGAATTTATGTATCTCTGCAAAATTTTGTTTATCTTTTGTTGCTTATATAGGAAAGTTTGTTGATAATTCAAAGTAATAATGATTTGTTATGGGAATAATTAATTGTATTGTTTATGTACATAATAGATTAAAAGTATGGTTAAAATATTATAAACAGATTGTTTTGATTTTGCAATAACATTTATTTAAAATGTCTCCAGGCAAAATTTTAAGATTTTGATACAGTATCTTTGCAAAAATCTTCAGGCCAAATTTATTGGGTGGACTTGATATTTTGAAGATATATTGAGTTTGACAATATATAGTTTTTATCATTTTCACAAAATCTACTACTTGTGCAAATATGGATATAATTAAGAATTTGTTGAACTTAATAAATTTGTTTGCTTTGTTTTAAGTGTGGCTTTTAGAATATGGAGAAAAAATTGTTTTCAAATGAATATACAAAAAATGACAGTATGAAGCACTGATAGGCACTTATTTCAAAATTCATAGTACTTATATATTTTTTCCAAATGTAAAGTAAGTTGTTAATGTTGAAGCTGGTTTTTGACTTAACAGTAAGAAGCTCACATAAGCATGGAATTTGCTATCATTGTTTTTTGAACACTTAAATGTGATTTTAGTCCTGGTAGAAATAATACTGGGGGAAGTAGTATCTCTACCTCTTTCTTCTAACAAAGACTTCATGTTATTGATGTATTAAAAAGCAAGTAATGAAAGGTATTGGTAGTAGAAGTGTAACAATTCACTCATATAATTGGTGAATTGAAAATGGCTGCAGCTTGAATTATTCACATCACCTTATCCTAACATTTTCAGTTGTTTAAAGTTTTTGTCATAAAAAAAGATGAAGCAAACCAACTTTCATCAATATGTGTGTGTGGTAACAGTAAGAAAATTGTCAAATGGCTTCAGTATCTTCAACTGGAAGCATAACTTCACCACCACTGTATGATTACTGCTGGATAGTAACACAGACTAACACAACTGTAAGTTTTTACAATGGTGATCAATACCAACTGGCTCTATACAGTTTCATACTAAAATCTTCATTATACCTATACTTGCCAATGTTATTCCTCACATGATTCCATAACTTATATATCAGCCATATTAAAATTCCTAATGCATTACACTTCCCTTCCTACCAAGCCATTTGAAACAGTAAGTCTAGAAACCACCTGCTTTTATATCAAGAAAATTTTTGTTCTGTGGTAATTAAGAGTAAAAATAAAAAGATGTAGGCCAATCCTCTTGAACAGTAGAACAATCATCCATACATGTTCCCCCTTTCTTAGCAATGTGGTCAGACATCTCCACTGTATTCCTGCCACCAGTATGTCCAGTGAAAGAATATTCAACACAGCTGCAGATGTTTTCACTGCCCAAAGAGCAGCCCTATTTCCTGAATATATTGACATGCTAGTTTTTTTTTAAATACAAATGTTGAAATTCAATAAAATTGTTTGATCTGAGAAAATAGTTTTAATTGTACTTTACAGCTGTATTCCTGACCTCATCTTTGTGATACCTATCATGTTCACTACTTGGCATATTTCTTACAGCTCTGATTGGTAGTAAAAGTGTAAATACTCAAGTAACAGGTGCCATTTTTATCCTGATATTTAATCTTATTGTTTAAAAGTATTTATTAAATTTTATTGCATATGACAGTGTAATAGTTGAATGTATTTTATCTTTTACCAACATTTCTGAGTGCTGAGCATTGTAGATAATAGTTAAGCAAATCTAAATTGTTTTTAAATACAGACTAAAAAGAAGTAGCAGAACTGGAGTTCAGCATAAGATAAACAACATATCACCTCACTCTTCTGTTACCAGATGACAATTGTAGTTTTGACATTTTTTTTATCAGCTCTGCTTAATCAGGAGCAGTTCTTTGCTAAACATGCCTTATGATCTATAAAAAAGAAAGTTTCTTTCTTGTTGTAAAATATTCAGTTTTAACTCTTATGCCAGTTTAAAATCTGTCAGCAAACAGACCCAACTATTATTATTATTTTTGGAAATGAAAGAATGAGTTTGTATATTAAAATAAAAAGTTGTCTTTTAATAAAGGAAGAAGATAGTCAATTGGGAACTCTTTCCTTTTGCATACTGTACTTTTGTGGACATGTTTGATTTGGTTAAACAACTAATAACCCCCAAAACAAGTATTTTATTCCTTCAAAGTTCTAGCTTTTAGAACTTTTTTGTTGAAGCATATTTTAGCATAATTGTTAATTGCACAGTAAGTGTGATTTGTATTATTCCACCATTCTGAAAATTATTTTCATACAAAAATACATTGTCTTTCTTTTTTCTTACAGTTGCTAAAAATGGAATTAACAAAGGATAAACATCAACAGTTGTTAAAAACTTTGATTTACTTTCATAACTTAAATCTTGAGTTTCATGCATCTTTTATCTTGCTATTCTAATTGGTCAGAACTATTTCTTAAGCACATACATAAACATTATTTTAAAATTCAGTTTAATTGAACTTGGGAAACACTGTTGTAGATGGTTACAAAAACTTGATATCAAAATCCACAGTATGAAGCCATGTGTTGCAAGAGTTTTGAATTCCTATTTTGGTTTTGAACTAAATGCACAAGGAACTTTCTGAACATATAGATATGAAATCTTCTTCTAAATGGCAAACTGGATAACAAGAATCATTGCATCCCGGTAGCAATATTACTACCTCACTAATGTAAATAGAAAGTTCAGTAAATATTTTCTTTCTGTATTATGTTGGATTTATTGGGCAAAATGTAGCCAAGAATTGTGATGGATTTTCATTTTTCTAAGTTAGCTGCTATTTGAAATATATGCTTACTTACATACAAATTAGATGTGCAAGTGGTAAAAACATTGCCAAAACACAGTACAGAACTTATTCTAAGTTAGAAAATACGATTGTGCAGGATACTGTATTTTGTTTAATTTACTTTTCATTTAATTAAGTTGATATGAATGTTATGCTTTGTTCTTGTACCAGTTTTGTCTGCGGTGTATTACTCAACATTCTTAGGTTAACCTAGGTTGAGATATTATCTTTATTCAAGTAAAGCCTGTTGATAAGAAAGGTTAATTAGGTTTGCCAGAAACTTAAAATCAATAAAAAAATTAAAATAGGATATTATGAACAAAATATGAAAAAAAATGCACACTGAAGGAAGACAATATTTATTTCTTGATAAACTTGGATATCTTAATGAACTTCAGAAGAAATATTTCCTTTCTTTACTGTTTTTATTTGTTAATAATATAGTACTTTAACTATTCTTACTAATTTTGTTTTATATGTTAGGACAATGTCAAACACTTTATTACCTAGTTACTTACCAAGCAAGTGTGTTAATAGCAGTAATTAGTGATACCATCTGATTAGAATTGGATCAGTGAAATTATCTTGATAAATTTTAAATTGCTTGATATACACAGCGTGGTCACAAGTAAATAGACACTGCCTTTTAAAAAAAAATGAAATTTTTCAGTCATATTCACATGAATTGATATACTTATAATTTAATTAATATCTAGTAGATCTTCCTTTTAATTTGTGGAGTTCGTTGATCCTTTGGGGCATTGTGAGAATCATCTCGTCAATTTTAGATTGTGGGATTTTTGCCCACTCTTTTTTCAAAACTTGGAGTAGATCGCTCTTCGAAGTTGTTTTTTGGTTGTTTCTTGTCTTGCTGGTCGAGTATGGCCCAGAGGTTTTCGATGGGGTTACATGTC